GTTTGTATATCTGTGACATCTGGTCAAATATATATTGTATTTCACAATTTCTTGTTGGATTTAGGACAGACTGGTTTACAGATCACAAGTTTTCAAAGCGAGAAAGTGTGTGTGTGTTTTCTTTTTGAAAACTTGTGATCTGTAAACCAGTCTGTCCTGAATCCAACAGGAGTCTGACTTCACTGGGCTTTGAATAAGGCCCTTTAGATGGAAATGAATGTGAAAATACAAACTTGCATTTTCACATTCATTTTTTTTTAGTCCAAAGGGTACACACATTACTCTCAGATACCCTTTCTCAGTTAAAGTTTCTATTGATTTTACTGAGTATTTTTTGTTTGTTTTGTTGGGTTTTTTTGCCAGAGTTAAGGACCATAGAGTCTGGTCCCCATAACTTATTCAGGTGTTGCCTATATACGGTAAAATCAAACTGAACCAATATAAGGAATTCAGTTAACATTAGGAGAATTTTACTTTAAACTTGCTTTTCTTTATCAGCATCCTTTAGAAACCTCCTTTCAGGTAACCACAGCATGATCTCTAAGATGCATCCCCACCTTGCCTTTTGCCTGACTTCAGAGTAACATGGCTAACAGCCTCTGCCTGCTTATGATTTTCTGATGAGGCCTAATGATGGTAGTGTTGTTTCTCCCTTATTCTGTGATGTTCTAAACTGCCTTGAAAGGAGTTTATATATATATATATATAGCCTAATTTGATATCCCTGGGAAAGCAAATAATTTGCTGGCTCTAAAAGGTGAGTCCCCAGATCCATTTTGTAGACCTTGCATTTACTGGAGCATTGGGTAGAACCAGCCACAATACATAAGTCAGTGTAATAAAACAAGTGATATCTGCTGGTACTAGTGACATCAATGTGAGCACAAAAGCAAACTACCCTGGGCCATCAGTCACCCACAAAACACTGATGCCTGTAAGCGTTCTGCAGCTTCAAGGGGCTTATTAATGCTATTTTGCATATTATGATCCCTTTAAGATAAGGATGGCCTCATAAAAACTGAATTAAAGGTTAATTGCATTAATACATGGTAATCACATTTTTACTACATATCTTGAGCATTGGCCCATCATAACAGTTTGTCTAGGAGAAATTGTTCAAAGTCAAAGACTTGTAAATGTATATTTAGAGGGCAGAATCTGTGCAGAGAATTAGACTTGTGGAGGAATAATACGTGGTAAATCAAATGGTGTATGTTAGAGCTTTTCTCCTTAAGTTAGGGAGGAATATGAAGAACATGTCTGTGTAATTTGGTGACTTGAAATATTTGATCCAAGTTGTTGTTTTGGTTTATAGTAAGTTGCAGCTTTCACCAGTGTCTGCAAGTAATTCCTAAAGTAACTAGGCTTCTGAAAGCAAGTTTTTACAGATGTGTTAATCTGACTTTTGTGCCTGTAATTCCATAATTGTTTGCCTCTTTCAGCATATGGGTTTACAATGCACTATCAAAGTACAAAGTGTATTTTTAGTAGTGTTAAGGTACTAGCCGTTTTATTCTTATAAACTTGCGCCTATAACCTTTATTCACTACTTGCTTGTGTCTGACTATTGCAGTCTGAATCGGCTGTTTTTCTAGTAACTTCACTTTAAGAAAGGTCTATGTTTCATCCAGGGCTTTAACAGATTCATACAGCATATATCCTTCCTCTGTATTAAAAGGTTATTTATGGTACTGTGCATCTTAGGGGCCAAGTTCAGGCAAGCAAACAAAAAGCACCATTGTCCTTGTCGCACCTGTGTGGAAACTATCCACGTAAGCAAATGGCAGGGAACTAGAAGTCATTAAATTGATATTGCCTATCATTATTTTTGTCTTGGTCACTTCAGCCCTCAACAATTTACTAAACATCTGGGATATTAAGAACCACAATGGGACTAATTAACAAACAGTATTGTTTTTACCTTAGACTTTGCCAATGTCTCTTGGGTGTCTAAATTAAATATAATTATTTTGATATTTTCTTAAGTGTCTTGTGAGATGCTACATAATTACCTCTTCTGAAACTCAAGTGACCTGAAAATTATGCATGTTAGGAAATTAGTGGTTGCTGCTCATATTTATAATATCGATGATATTTATAATAGCTATATTTGGAGATTAGAGATCCAGATGAAGAGACTCAAATGAAGCAGTTTTGTGAGACTAAGATGAATGTTGTTTTCCTACTGTGTACAATTGCATTTGATAATATATGGCCCTTCTTATTATTTTGTCTAAAAACTAATTCTATGAGGTACCTAAGCAGTCTATAAATAAGACATCAACCTTAGCCCAGTCTGAAAACGTAGTCAGTTAAGTTTAAATTGTTCAGGCTAAATCAGTAGCAGTTGATGATTAAACGTGTGGAAAACTTTTTTAAAAAGTTGTTATAAGGTATTAAACAACTTCATTTGCATAAGACTCAGGGTCACTCTTGTTATGCTGCAGCCAGGGGCTGCTGGGAGCAGCTGCACAGAATGTTGGACTTGATGGCAGTGACCAGGTCCCTGCACTCGGCTCCCCCAACCTCCCCCACTCCTAAGTTTCCCTTCTAGCCGGAAGACTCTAGCTACAGGGAGCAACTGCACAGAATGGTGGGCTAGGCCAGGGATGGTGGCAGCAGCAGGCAGTCCCCCTGTCTAATGCTTGATGCAGGCCAGCCAGGGACCACCACCACCCCCCGGGGGCAGGGAGCAGGTGCTAGAAGAAGGAACAGCTCACAGCCATCTTTGGCCAGGCCTGGCACCCTGTGCAGTTGCTCACCAAAGCCTCTGCTGGTACAAGACATGAGCTGCCCTGAGGTTTCCACTGCCCCTGGCTCAGCATGTCCTGTTCCCCACCCCCCTCCTATGCCCAGAAGGTAACCTTGGGCAAGCCCTGCTGGAGGAGGGGAGGGGATGTGCTGCTGAGCACTGTGGGGGTGAGGGTGCTTGGTGGGGATAGAGGCTGCAGCAACTCCTGCTATGCTGGACACGTCTCCTACCCTGCCTGACCCCCCAAGGTGTTGTTGTTGTTGAAATCCTAGATCTGGCTCTGAAGAGGTATAATATGGGAATTATTTTTTTTTTTCTTAGGTCTGTTCTTTTTTGCTGTTGTTATAAGTTCTTAGAAATGCTTTCTTTTTTTGCAGAAGGCATTCTGTTTGAAATGGCAAATAAGGAATTCTAATCTTCTATACCAACTGCAAATATAATGGGAAGAAAAATATTCCTAATTTGTTAGCTGCCTAGTGATACTTCGATTTCCATCTGCATGTTATTGGAAAACTGTGTGCATCTGGTTATAGACAAAAGGGCTTTTTACTTTTTGATATTTACAGTATTCTGTACTGAAAAGAGAATTAATAAACTACACAGTGGGTGTGTCTACATGAGGTGCTTTACTGCGCAGTAGAATAATCTACTTTGCAGTAAAGCATTGCCATCTACACATGCTCACATTTACTGCACAGTAAATTAGTCTACTGTGCAGTTAGCTACTACCTGTAAATACATGTAGTAAACTAACTGCACAGCAGATACTGCACAGTTGTGCATGTGTAGATGTTGTTCAGAAACAAATTTGCTTCTGGTCAACCCCAACACTAGGGGGCCACAAGGGACCAGGAACTTCCTGGCTTCTGGTACTACATATCTCCTGGCTTCCGCCAGGAGCTGGGAGTCATAGTGCTGAGATGGGGTCCTTGTGCAGCCCAGAGGTGGTTAGGGGCTGCCCCAGGAGTGGGACATTCCCCAGTCAGCCCCAGGCTGCTTGGAGAAATCCCCACATAGCCCAGAGCTGGCTGGGAGCTGCCCCAGTAGCAGGACAGCTCTGCGCCAGCCCCTGGTTGCGTGGGGAGGCCCCACTGAGCCTGCTGGGGTCAGGAGAGCTCTGCAATGGCAGCTGTCTCCTGGCCCCCTGCACATCAGGACCCCACCCAATGTGCATGGGGGCCGGCAGAGCTGTCCTCACCCCGTGTGCATGGAAACCAGCCATTATGCTCCCTGCCAGCCCCTGGGCTAGCTGCAGGGGGCCAGAGTGTAGGGTTGGTGCAGCTCTGTACTGACCTATTCCCGTTGGGAGCAGATTTACTCTCAACAGGGAGCACGTGTAGACATGCTCCCCGGGAAGACTTACTGCACGGTATTTTACTGCTCGGTAAGAAAGTTTTATAGCATTAATTGCATGTGTAGATGTGCCCAGTATTGAGAAATATTGTCGTCTTATCTAATAAGTGTGTCTGTGCAATAACTTCTAGTGTTTAATGAAAAGCCAATATTATGTGTGTTTTTTTGTAAACATACTGAAGTAAGAAAACTTACACATTCTTCTCTGATGTGCATAACATGATACAAACATAAATTATTGCTTTGTTTTAATGTTAGTGCAAAACAATTTTCAAATAGATTTGAGTATATAGTAACTGGTATCTTTAGCAGCTGGGAAAGTGTAATTTTTGCTTTTAGTAGGTTCTTTGGTCTTTATAAGCTAAATATTATTTGCTAATCTTTGTTCTTTGTAGAAAAATTAGGATTCCCCAAGAGGGCACAGAACTGGCATTGCCAGCTCCTAATGGCATATCTCTGTGGGCCATAGCCATAGTTGTCCTGCATAAAGTGGAGCAGCAGCTGAACTATTCTAATGTCTGGTTAGCCTGGGACCAGCATGGAGCCTTTACAGAATCCTGGCTGCAGCTGAGAAGTTGGGACCTTTTAGGTGGTTTCCAAAACACAGGGCAGGTATTCTACGTACTGCTTGGTTTTAATTTTATTTCATTTTTTTCCTTCCTCACTAGCAGTAAACATAATTTCTTAGTGAATATTCTAAGTGCAACAGTCCTTTACCCTAGCTATACTGGTAACAACTTTCCTTTTTAATAATACAAATTATTGTTAAAGTATCTCTCACCCTTGCCTCGAAAGAGATGAAGACCAAATGCTGAATGAAAGAACTACTTAAACTTTAAATCAATTCATGATTTAAATTAAATTAAATTCCTCTTTTCTCTCTTCCCACTCTCAGCTGGAAAGACAGATACTGATGCAGAATCAAATGAGGGAGAGGCAAATGGCTATGCAGATTGCTTGGACACGGGAATTCCTCAAGTACTTTGGGTTATTTTTTGGACTAACTGCTGTCGGTTTAACCACTGGGTAAGTTCATTATCTATCAGAAAATTTCATATCAATTCTTTTGTAGTGGTGTTTCCACAATACTGAGTCCTTTCTCTTGATTGTTTATATGTAGTTGCTTTGTGAAGGGTTTATTTCTGTTTGGAGGTTAATTAAGTGCTATCTTCATTTCTAGCTTTTCCTGGGTGTCTTTGGCTAGGCTATGACAACACCACTGCAGACTGTCATAATACCAAGGTACCTAAGCTAGCATGAGTACTGAAAGCAGTCTAGCTGTACAGCACAGAGGTCTGTGTACTTCCCAGCAGGGTATGTCAGCCCATGCAGATTTCACTGCTGCCACAGCTAAACTACTTCCAGGACCTGCGCTAGCTCATTTACAGTCAGCTATAATAGATGACTGGCAGTGAAGATATTTGAGTCATGTTTGATGACTTCTAATAATCAAAATAAGTCTTATTATTGTTAGAACTGTAGAACAAAACCTGCTATATATCTCCATGGTAGAGAGCTGGATTCTTATAATAATTTTAGCATTTGGATAGAACAAAGAATTGAATAGCCTGTTAGCGTAACCCTCACTGTTCGGCTTTGAAATGGGTAGTAGTAGTATTTATCACTGTTTTATTGGAAGAGATGGAGCCACAGGAGAAGTGACTCGCACAGCACTGCAGTGAATTATTTCCAGAGCTAGGGTTAGAATTAAGGACTCCTACCTAACAGCATTTGAACCCTGTTACCCTAGACCAGTCTCTCTCCTGACTCAATTCTACCTGATCTCAGTATCAAAATTGTCATTGAAAGTCTGAGGGTGGGTCTAGACGTTATTCCAGTTGCAGCATAGCTTTTCTTGCATGATGAAGACATTGCGCCAGCCTGCATAGGGCAGGCTGTTTGGAGGAGGAAAAAAGGCATAACAGCTTGTGCTGCTGCTGACTAGTTGGGGAGCTCCATCTGGTCAGCAGCACCACTGAAGGAATTGGATGCTTCTACTAAGAAGTCATCTCCCAGGACCCCTGAGGTCTCCCTGGCAGCAGCAAGATGGTGGGCAGAAGTGGGGATATCCCCCCCCACACTTCCCCCTCTCCCTCCCTGCCATGTGTGCAAGGAGTAGGGAACACCCCAGGTCTCCTGGGCAGCAGCAAGCATGGGGGTGGGGGGAAGGAGGAATGGGGCCTAACTGACATACATGCTGAACCAGTTAGCAACACTTTCAGCTGCTCTGAAGCCTGGAAGGTCTTAAAGTGAATGTACTTTTTGAAATAAATATTCTTCAAATTGTATATGAAATGTAATTCAAATTGTATATGAAATGTAATTCAATGTACATACAATTCATGTAAATGTATTAATATTTCATGAATGTTAATACATTCATGAAATGTAGCCCAGCTAAATGGCTCTTTTGTAAGAGCATTAGCAGCCTAAAAAACTTCTAAAAGAAGATTTCTTTTTCATTCTTATTTATGAACAGAGCAATGAAAAAGAAGAAGCCAGGACTTTTACTTCCAATAGTTCCTTTAAGCTTTATACTTGCCTACCAGTATGATATGGGATATGGGACTCTTCTGCAAAGAATGAAAGGTATGTGTGTGGAAATGTAAAGCATATAACAAAGCCTTGTACCCTTCAGGATATCTTTGTTCAGGACTGCATTGACCATGCCAGCCCCATTTTTGGGAACAGTCTGGGAATATTACTCCTTTTGCCTTCATGGGCAGTTAGTGGCATTGAATCTATGAATCTAGTTGCCTTTTGCTCATTTCTTTATTCCCGTTTCTGTCTCCCTCAAAGTCAGAAATCAGTTTCCTTCTCTTCCATTTTTCTCAGCTGTGAGTATTTGATACTAACACTTCCAATTCAGGCTGCCTCAAGTAAAAATTAAGGTTCTTAATTTTTAGGGAATCAAAATAAGTGTATTTATTGGCTACTTTTTAAAAAGTAGACACAGGTTGATTGAGCTGTATCTTTCTTTGGTTTTAAAATTCCAGAACCAATCACAATCTATGCATGTGTGAGAGAGGCTGCTACTCTCTTCCAATATTAATTATCCTGACTCCTGTGTTTCCTACAAAAATACCCGGTGGTAACGCAATCAGAAGTTGAAAGAAATGTGCACAGCTAGCATTAATATGGCATATGTTTGGCCTGGGGGGGGGCGGGGGGGGGATTTGTTTTTTTACACAAAAAGGAAAGTTACTAACAAGCTATGAGCTATTCAGACCTAGATCCCAGAATGATTTTTAGGATAAGCGGTCTTTAAACCTGTTAAATGATCAGTTCAGATAACTATCTTCCTAAGGACAGATCTGAAGGAAATAGACTCAGCTAAAATTTCAAATGCAAAACACTCAGTTATAAATTGTATTGTACATATTTGATTGTGCATAAACTATGTTAAAAAGAACATGATTATCGTTGAGCCCAGAACTCAAGTCTGAAGAAATGCAGTCTTAATTCTTCCGCTTTGTATGTCTGGTATTCTGATAGCATTTCATTATATGATCACATGCTGTTTTTTCCCCCCATAGGTCCCCTACCTTCCTCAGTTCAAGTGTGGACAGTGTTCAGTTATGAGCAGCTGTTTGCTATTTTGTTTTCTGTTTATTGTCTTATGTGTGACCTCATGTTAGTTTGTTTATTGCACACTCTTGAAACCCTGCCATTAAGATGGAATTACTACGTATCTACGGGCTTTTATAGAACACTGGCCCTGAGCCCACAGTGGGCAGTCTGCCTCTGCCCTGTGCACAAATCCGGGGGGGGAGAGAGGGGGACATATGACCCTCCCCCCATGCCTCCCCCAGGAGTGTGCTCATTGGTGGGGAGTGCCTTCTCCCCCCCCCTGCTCCTGCCCCTGCCCTACTCCCTCCCTTACTGTGGGGGCCTCAATCTGTTTCCCCCCCACCCCTTCCTTCCCCCACAGGCTTATTTGCAGGGTGATGCTCTCCACACTGCCTGGCTGCATGCCTGTAAATCAGCTATCAGATAGGTATATATGGCTGGTTAATAATCAGCTATCAGTATCAGCCAAGAAAATCTTTATTAGTGCACCCCTAATTTGGACCACAACTAGAGTAAATGAAAATGTGAATGAGACAGAATGTCTACAGAGAAAACAGCATGTGATCAAGTAATTAAATAATGTAACATTGTATAAACTCATGGGGGGAAATAGATTATTGTTGTACAGTCAATTCTTAATGTTTTCAGTTATTGACTGTTAAGTCATAATAATGTTTTTTATAATATACCTGTATTCTAGGCTTGTCCAACATGCGGCCCGTGGGCCACCATGCGGCCTGCCAAGGCATTTTCTGTGGCCCGTGATGCTGCGACAGGAAACGAAGGTAAACACGGTTTACTTTCGTTCCCGCCCCTTGTCCCTCCCTGAGCCCCTCAGCAGCTTCCTAATGGCTGCTGAAGGGCTGGGAAAGGGACAAGGTTCCCACACGCACTGTGTCAGCTTGACGTTGCCGACACGGGGCGTGTGGGAAGAGAAGTGCAGACCCGGCCCTCCGCCTCCTGTCCTCAGCACCACATGTGGAAGCCACCGCTTCCCAGCCCGAGCGACTCGCCACTGCCCGCCCACAGGCGAGAGGCAGCCCGGACTGGCCGCCTGGCCCTGAGTCGCTGGCAGAGGCAGAAGTGGAGCGGCGTGGGCAGGTGCCTCCTCCCACCGGGCAGTCAGCTTTGACTGCGCTGTGCGGAGCCTGCGCTCACTGTGCCCCGAGGTGCCGCCCGGCCCTGGCTCCGGCTCCCTCCAGCCCGGCGTGGCGCGGCAATGTGGACCTGCGGAGGCGGCGTGGCGGCTGGGCTCGCCCTGATTCCCTGATTGTCTGCCTCTGCCGCCTCTTGCCCGGCCCAGACACTGCAGGTTGGGCCGGGGCCGGGGGTGGGGCAGGAAGACGGCGCCTCCCCCGGGGCTGGGCCGGTGACTGGGCTCCCAACACCTGTGTGTGTGTGTGGGGGGGAGTCCCTGCCTTTAACAGGGGAGGCTCTTTGCCGTTTTTGGTTGCAAAGGGGAAAATGTGGGCAGAGCAGTTATAGTGTCTTGCTGCATTTGAGGGAGGCAAGTGTAAGTCCTGCTTTCTACTTGTGCAAGAAGCTTCCTCCTTTTTGCCCCCAGCTGTATTTGGGAACTGAGTCATTGATTCTGGGCAATCCAAGGTGATCCAACATAATGCCACATGGCTCCCTGCATGCTTTTCAGAAAGAAGCTTGTGTGCCCTAACTTTGCTGTCCCTCTGTGCCAGTAGGGAAACTTGTGTCTCCTGCATGACCACACAAGTGTTTGGTATTATTTCTTTGTTGCTTTTTATATTGTTTTTATTTTGGATTTTAAACCACATTTCCAGACCCATTTCATTGTCACTTTCTGCAACTTCGTTGGTGTCAAAGGTCATGTGATATCACTTCCTGATGTGATACCACTTTCTGTGGGGTCTTTGAATATGGCTTGCCAGCCCACTGGGTGATAAAAAGTTCATGATCCGGCCCCACATTCAAAAAGGTTGGACACCCCTGCTGTATCCAATGTCCTGGATTTTCAAAAAAACAAACTGGGAAAAAATAATAATCATAGGCATCATACTGGTATCTGGATAGTTCCTTAGTGGTACTAGAAGATACCACTAGAGCCAAGAGAGGGCCTGCACTACAAAGAAATTAGACAGTTTGCCACTGCACTGCACAGATATTTGCTGACAACAGGGGAATGGTAAAACAGGAATCTTGGTATCCATTCAAGGGTTTGGGCAGTGGGCATAGGCTCTTCAGTCCATTCCATTGCTAAGCGTTACCCTTTCTGTATTCCCTTCCTGTCTAATCTCTGTTCAGATATCTGACCATTATTTTTGCCCAGTCAATCCCCGCCTTCACGTCTTGGTTTTTTCATTCCAGACTCCTTGCCCAGCAAATCCTATTTTTACCTCTCTTGATATCCCTTTCTTACTCCACCCCCAACTCATGGTCTACTTGCCAAGCCATCAGTACTTTCTAAGGTTTTGGCTCTGTGTCCCTGGTTGAAATTCTTGTTTGGAAAATTTCAACTGAAATTTTAGGAGGAAGACGCGTGGTATATCATTTGGCCCATAGGATTGGTTTGGCAGAGTTAGAAGTAGCTGAAAATAGGGTCTTAAAATGGAAAGTGGCGTTTCAGTAACTAATGGCAGAAGGCTGACCATGCATCATCTATGCTAGCAGTAGAGAACACTGGTGGCATTGTTAAATAAACTCAGGGCCGGCCCGTCGGCTTTTTTGGCTGCTCGCCACTCCCTCCCCACTGCCACCACCAGCTTCTTCACGTCAGAGGACCCCAAAACTCTTTCGTGCAGAAGGCCCCAAAAAATTGTGGGCTGGTCCAGAATGAACCCATCACTTATGAATTTGTAGAAGGGCTATGGCCCAGTGAATGATCATTGTACACAAAATTGGTTTTATTTGAAAATTGCTGTTAGTTTCTGAAACAACCTTGTATGTTACTAATTTGAACAAATATATTCTTTAATCTCCCTCAAACAAGATTAACCATATTCAATTTTTTACCTTTTTTATTGCTTTTACAACGCTGGGTTATTAGATGCACTTCCATCTCATATCTTTCTTTTTTCTTCTTTAATTTAAGGTGAAGCAGAGAAAATACTTGACACGGATAGTGCTCTCCTAGAATTGCCAAAAGGAGCCATCACTTTTGAAGGCCTGGAAAAAGCCAGAAGAGCTCAGAGCAAGTTCTTTGTCGAGAAATAGGAGTATTTATAACAAATCAAGTATTCAAAGTACAAAATTGTTTGTTTATAATCATGTTTGATTTAACATGTCAGAATATTAAAATTTTCAGAGAATGTAATCAGCTTTTATAAAATAAAACTACTTTAATGGGTATTTTCTAAGGCAATGGTTTTATCGTGTTTTCTGTATTTTTGTAGATGTTTGTAATTAGTCACTTTTTGTTAGTCTCCTAACATGAAACATTGAATTTCTACTTTTCAGTACTAATGCAGTCAAATGTATACACTAATAAAGTACCTCTTTCACTCTACATTAAGAGGTTAAGAAACGGGTATAAACAGTGTTCCATATTTTCTGAATTTAGGTATCTACAAGTCATCACCTCTCTGTATTTAGACATCTGTGTAAAAAAAAAAAAAAAAAAAAATACCCTGAGTGTTTGTTTTGCTAACACCTAGAACTACAGCTGAAGCCTATGAGAACTTCATGTACTTTGCAGTTTTAATAATCACTTTTTTTTTACTACTAAACTGTAGTCACACAATCTTGTCAGCCTGTTACTAAGGAAGGAAATATTAAATTCATGGTTGAGCAGCAAGAAAAGTTGTTGTCCACTACTATAAGTTCTAATGGGCTTTTCAAACACTGTTGAACTGAATTCAGTTTGGTTTTTGTTGGGTTTTTTTTTTTTTTAATGGGCCGCATACTGCCATGAAGTACATTGAGAACAAGCATAAGGCTGATATAGTTTTTAAATATATATTTTAATATTTGAAAAATTTTCACATAATCCTTATTTTGATGGTAAACTTTTTCTCTTTATACAATATGTAGTAAATTATTTTTGCTTGGAATATAATCTAGTATTAATATCAAGCTTGAGAGAACAACTCTCATTCTGAGTTGAGACAAAGCTTCTAGCTTTTAAAATACGATGATTTTGTATTACTCTAAGTTGTCTGATATTATAAACATTCTAAGTAGCTTCAAACCTTAGGTGAAGCCCAAAATTTGAAGTGGATATTTTAAAGATCGCTGAAATAATCAAAACTATCAGTATGTTGAGAGACAAATTAAGATTGGTAACTTCTTTTTTTTTTTTTTTTTTTAGGTATTTTGTATTTAAAAAATGCTGAGCTTGACACTTTACATCTGTTTTTAAAACCCAGTGAAGCATTACTTAATGGCATTAGTTAATGCCCATATCGAATCAGCCACTCTCTTGCCAATTCACATATACACACTGTCTTGTTCACCACAGCAGCAGATTGAAAAGAATGGTGGTTTCAATTCACAGTAAGAGAATAGGTTCTGTACATAAAAACATTATACTCTGTCCATTAGGATAGGATGGCAGTATTTTATCATATGCCACATCTTGGCTATTTTGGGTTGGAGGTGGGGGCTCCCAGCTGAGGCTATCCCCAAAGTCAGTTAACAGTTAACCAATGCTTTCATGTTGCCTCCTGTTGCTAAATAATATGGTCCACTCCCCACATATAACATGTTGCCAATGCACATGCAAAAGCTATTTCTTAAGCAGCATTACCCGGAGAGGGAATTTTGAGCTAAAGCCTGAAGGCGAGTGCTACCAGGCCACTGTGTGAATGAATAGCTGTCCTGGTCTGCGTTGGAATGAGGGCAAACTTTCCTTAAGTTAGTAATATTTGTCTCAGTTCAAATGTTTTGGTCATGTGGGGCAGATAACCAAAAATAATCGCATTCACATGTGCATGGCTAAAGGTGTCAAGCCTCAATACATGCATAATGAACCATCAAAAATGTCCTCCCTACCTTGCTCTGGTATATCCACTGTGCTCTTAAGCTACAAGCTAACTACAAGGTAACTAGTAGGGTGAAAGTACTAGACATTAGGAAAGCTGATTTAAATGAACTCAGGCGATTAGTCAAGGACGGACTGCAGAGTAGGAGTTTTGAAATGATGGGAGCCCAAGAAGGGTGGCTGTGCCTTAAGGAAACGATCCTTCGGGCACAAAGAGAGACGATCCCCATGCGGGGTAAAAGAGGGAAAGGAGCCAGGAGGCTTCCCTGGCTGACTGCAGAAATCCAGGGCAGCCTAAGGGCCAAAAGGGGAGCACATAAAAAGTGGAAACAAGGAGAGATCACCAAAGACGAATATACCTCCTCTGCTCGTGCTTGTAGGGAGGCAGTTAGACGGGCCAAAGCTACCATGGAGCTGAGGATGGCATCC